TATTGATTAAAACTGTCTTATCTGGTATGTTATAAGTATCATCTATAGTATTATCATTAAGTCTTTTATAATTAATAACCATTCTGTTTTTTCTCCTAACAATTTCTGAATATTTTCTAACTATAAAAGCTGCTGATCTATGAGGACTTTCTGATTTTCTAATTACTCCTAATTCCAAGAGTTCTTTTATATGTATTTTAAAGTCTTCTAAATCTAAATTTGTAGCTTCTATATTTTTAGTTTTAATTATGTATTCTGGATTTTTAATTTTTAATTCACATAAGATTTTATCTTTTTCCTAATATTTTAGAACATTTTCTCCTATTATTTCAATCTTTTCTAATCTAGATATTAAATTTTCTATTTCTTGTTCTGTTATTATGAAAAGATGAAAGATTCTCTCAAAGTGGTGATAAAAGTTTACAATTTAATTTTAGACTTTTTCTCTTTTATTGATAGAATTCTTAGACTTTTTTGTAAAGTTGGTGGAAATCTTGTAAAAGAAAGATTCCCAACTGTAGACCTTTTGAATTTTTAGCAAAAGACGTAGGAACTTTGAAATTTTCTTTGCCACTTGTTATACTTTAGAATAGCCAGAAGTTTTTCGATCAAATGTGTACCTTTCTCAAGGATAATTTAGATTTTTTGCTCCCAAAAATTTTTCTATTTAAGGAATGAGTTTCATTTGATTTAAGTAGAAATTTACAACCTGTGTACTCTCTGCTATCTAAAAAACTTTTGAAACCTCTCCTCTAGAAAAATTCTCAATTCAAAAAATATTGTATAGCTGAGTGGAATGTCATTTTCATCAGTGGCACGCCATTCTTTCCCAACTGTAGACCTTTTGAATTTTTAGCAAAAGACGTAGGAACTTTGAAATTTTCTTTGCCACTTGTTATACTTTAGAATAGCCAGAAGTTTTTCGATCAAATGTGTACCTTTCTCAAGGATAATTTAGATTTTTTGCTCCCAAAAATTTTTCTATTTAAGGAATGAGTTTCATTTGGTTTAAGCAGAAATTTACAACCTGTGTACTCTCTGCTATCTAAAAAACTTTTGAAACCTCTTCTCTAGAAAAATTCTCAATCCAAAAAATATTGTATAGCTGAGTGGAATGTCATTTTCATCAGTGGCACGCCATAATCTTGATACATGATAAATATTTTTAATAATGCAGAACAAGACAAATGTGCCAGCAGAAAAGAAGAAAAAATGAAAGATTCTCTCAAAGTGGCGATAAAAGTTTACTATTTAACTTTAGACTTTTTCTCTTTTATTGATAGAATTTTTAGACTTTTTTGTAAAGTAGAAGAATATAAAAATATTTATATTTTAACAGAAATCTCTTTTATAATAGAACTCTGGATACAAATAGAAAGTTTGAATACTTAGACTTAGACTTAGACCTAAGAAATATCAGTAAAAAAGTACAAACAATAGATAATAATATAATTAAGTGTAATTTATACAATAAGCATAAATTACATAGTTTATTTTCAGAAGATCCAAGTCAGAATTGTTTAGTAGACTTACTCATAAATTTACCAAAAAATTTAGAATTAGAAAATAAAAAGCAAAATAATTATTTAGAAATTATAAAAGAAAACATTACAGTTAGAGATCAAGAGATTAGAAATATAAAAGAATCTTTAGATTAATTCTCGAAAGGGAAATCCTTAATTGTATATCTTTTCAAAGATGAATTTATAAATCCCTGATTTATGTTTTATTCTTTTATGCTTATGTTTTTTATGTATTTGTTAAAGTAAATATTTGTTATGTTTATCATTTCATCCTATGCATATAATAAAAGTATAACTGGATTTCTAGGCTGAATTTATTGAGTTTGTGAAAAATCTGAATTATTTGAAAAGTGTTCTGGTGAAAAATGTTCTGATGGACCAATAGAAGCACAGCAAATGGATGGAGAACTTTATACTTACACAGAATTATTACAATCAAATAGTAAAATTAGTTTTGAGACAAATTGTGGTAGAAGTATAGAATATACTTTATCTAAAGAATCCGTATGGGTTAGATCTTTGAATATTAAAGATACAGATTTTATTATAGGATTAAGTTTTTTATTAAAAGATATAATCCGATTCTTTGTTTTCTTCTAAATTTTTGTCTTCTATTGATATAATACTATAAATAGATTCTTTATCTGAAATATATTCATCTAATTGTATTAAATCTTCATTAGTACATTCTATTAATGTACTCTTCTTATCATAATTATTTATTCTTTTTGGACAGGTCTTAGATAAATTATATCAACTAATTAATATTATTATTATTATTATTATTATTATTATTATTATTATTATTTTAATTTTTTGGTTGCTTTCAGGTGTGTAAATTCATTTCCAGCTGCTTACGCTTTGTGTCACACCGTACTAAATATCTCAGTTGATTTTAGGATCATTTTTAAGATACGGGGTTTCTTTTATTTGGGAATGAGGGGAGTTTTGAGGTTTTAATAGATGGGAATTTCTTATTGCTTGTTTCCAATGTACTTGTAATTCTAGGTTCAGATGCCTAGGTTTGTCTTCTAACGGGAAAAAAACTTCTTTCCACTACAAGAAGCTTTGCATGACGTGTTTCTATAAATAGATGGACAGGATCTTATTTGAGCAAGTTTCCAATTCAAAAGCAAAATTTACCCTTTTTTTTTTGGTACATGTCATTGTTTTTGTTTTATTCAGTTCAATTGTACAATATTTCATAGAAATGCGGCTCGGTGGAGCTTGTGATGATACTTTTTGTTTTCCTAAGGAAGTCGTCTTACGGAGAAAGTTGGCCTGGTGGCCTTGTGGTTGAGGTATTTGTGGGTGGTGGTTATAGGTGTGAATCTCCATGGGAGGAGTTGGTGGACATGGTGGTATGTGTTACGCTTTGGAACAAAAAGAAAATACTCGGATTCTGTCTTGTTATTTGCTATTAGCATTTGTGAGTTCCTCGTGGCAAAGATAAAGGTTTCTAGGTTCAGCTGAGAATAATAAACTGATTCTTTAGTAAAAAAGAGACTTTTGAAGTTTGATGTTTATAATTGCATATTTTGTGGATATATTTACAGCTTAAATAATTCTTAAGCTGATTTTCTAAAAGTTATGCTTACCCTCTGACATGAATGTGCAGGTTGGTAGACATAGCCCCACATTACTATGATTTGATGAACTTCCCCAACTGTGAAGCAAAGCGGCAACTTGAGAAGCTGTATAAAAAACGGGAGAATGTGAGGGAGGAGAGCAAGAATAGAAAGTGAAGAAACGCACTTGACAGTACTTCCTGAAGATCCTCGCAGATGGTTATAGAGCATCTAGATCGATCAATTGAGTTTCAAACGTCTTGAGTTTGTGGGGTAGTCAACATATATTGTACCTGAGTGTTAAGAGCATTGATTTCAGTTTGTATTGATACTTCTAAATTAGTTGTTTCCCTTCTGCAAGTGGGGTTCTTTTGTTCTTTAAATTACTTACTCTTGGCAACTGAGTAATAAAAATCTCTGTTTGTGTGAGCATATGAGCTTGTGCCAGTGGATTCATGGTGAACCACGTGGGATGGTCTTGTTGGCTTATGGGTACGGGTGACCGAAGCCAATCTGAATAGTTTCAGTCTAGTGTGATTGTTTTTTCATCTGTGCTAGTACCTAGGGGTCTGATCTGCAGTCTATGCTTCGAATTCTTTTACCAGTGATGGCATTGAGTTGCCACGAGTGCACTATTGTATGATGCAATGACAGATGCACAAAAGCAACAATATGGTGTATAAGGAACATAAAGAGCAGCTCTGGCGTCCATTGATTTTGTTTAGAAATCAGTAGTCCAACACCAGTCATGACCATGAGGCGAGAGTCGACTTCCAGCTAAGCCATTTTTGGCCTATTCATGGTCTTCAGCTCATCTGTTGACATGGCTGCAGTGTTGCTGCCTGAATTTGTGGTGTTACTTGAACTAGGCCTACTAGTAATGCAGGGACTTTTCCATCTCTATAATCGTGTTAGTGTATTACCTACGTGCAATATAAAGAATTCAATGCCTGCAAACTAAGAAATTTCTTCATGTTGTTCGCCATTTTGGTTCACAACCATCCAAGTCTCAATTACATAATTTTCCGTTGTTTCTCTAAATTACAGTTTAATTCGAGTCAGGTCTACATGGACTTGCCGGGATCTGTCCTCAAGAAATGGGACTGATACCAGTCGGGTCAAATCAAAGTTTCCTTGCACCGAAGTTGAAAGAACACACGTACTCAGCGAATTCCAACCAAAGCTGTAGCACAAGGGCAAGGATACGCATGCTTTCAACCTATTCTGATACCAAGGGCTGACACCTGACTGAAGGATGATGATAGGTTACCGTGCAAATTTTGTTGCCGTTAGGGGCAGTAGAAAAAGGGAAAATACGTGCTCGTTTTACAATGTTGTACATGCAGATGTCACGAGCTTGTTTAGGCTCCTTTTAGTTCTTTGACGTCTGGAAAAGTATTACACACTTCGCCACTGTGCTTTTGTGGATAGTTAGAATGTCAATATGCCGTGCTTCTTGTGCTTATCCAAAATAATTGATAGAAAGATGGTGGAATTTCAGTCTGGAACAATTTTGCCAAGACCATAACATCTTGATGGAAAGACCTGATTGCGATTCTTATGTTGACCTCATTGGCTGATATTGTAGTTACATAATTTTTTTCTTTTTGCAGTAGAAGGCATTCTTAAATTGGATGAACAAACTATTCTCTGGGAGCATGTGTTTTTTCATTGAATGCATTTCAAGAATTAATTTATTTCATTTTATATACTTTGGCACGGGTATATAATTTGTTTTCATAACATCTTAATGCCTTCTGTCATGTTTTTCTGTCTCAAACTGATAATTTGTTTTAGAAAAGTGAATCAATAATCCATGAATCAATAATCCATCTGGTCTTTAACTTTCTATTTCATGTATAAATACAGAGGTTGTGCTGCTGCATTTAGAAGCACATAACCACGCCTATCAGATGAAAACATGCCGAGATTCAATCCAACTTCCAGCATTCTGCTTTCTCACATGCCCTTTCCTCATTAACTTCTTTAGCTCATTCACTCTACCCCAAACTGCATTTTCACCATATATCTTGGACAACATTGAACACACAGCAGGATGATCTTGTTGCAGTTTGGATATTCCATTTGCTGCAGCCTCAGCAAGATCCAGAGAGGAATGTAAACCACAGGCTCCAAGCAATGCACCCCAGACAACCACATCGGGTTCAAAAGGCATACTCTCGATCAATTTTCCAGCTTTCTCTAGCAGCCCTGCTCTTCCATATAAATCCACCATACTAGCATAATGCTCCATCTCTGCTTGTATTCCGTACTTTGTGCTCATGGAGTTAAATATCTTTTCACCTTCTTGAACCATTCCTCCATGCACGAAGGCTGACAAAAGATTGATGAATGAAATTTCATCTGGCCTGACACCACTCTTAACCATTCTCTCAAACTCCTCTGATGCTCTTGTGGCGAGGCCATGTTTTGCATAACCTCCTATAATTGAATTCCATGACACCAAATTCTTTGTCAACATTGACTCGAATATCTGACATGATGCGTCTATGTCCCCACATTTTGCATACATGTCGACAAGGGAGGTTGCTAGAATCACATCAAGCGGACATCCAAACTTTAAGATACATGTATGAACTTCATTACCCATGACAAGAGAAGAGCAACCAGCGCAAGCATCTAATACACTTGAAAAGGTATAATGGTTAGGTCGAGTCCCTGAGTTCATCATCAAGAGAAACAGCTCCAAAGCCTCTACAAACTTTTCACCCTGCACATACCCTTTTATCATCGCAGTCCATGAAACGACGTCCTTTTTGCTCAGCTTATTAAAAGCTTCTCGAGCTTCATTAACTTTTTTATTTTTAGCATATCCATTAATCAAAGTGCTCCAAGAATATGCGTTTTTCTCAGGCATCGCGTCAAAAGCCCTCTGAGCTTCATTTATCAACCCAAATTCCATATAACCCAAAAGTAACACATTCCAGGGAGCCACATCTTTCTCTAAAATCTCATCAAATACTCTACAGAAACCCTCACAATCACCCAAAGCAATATAACCCCTCATTAAAGCAGACCCAAGAAACACATTCAGATTAAGCCCTGAGCATATAACAAGACAGTGAAGTTGTTGGATTAAGACATCAAACTTCGTATTCAAGAAAGCACTAATAAGTACAGCAAAGGTGAGCTCTTTAGGTCTCGGCCCTTTTCTCATCATTTCTAGGAAATGCTGGTGTGCCTTTTGCGGTTTTTGACTATCTCGAAATCCTGAAAGCATAGTGTTCCAGGAGACAACGTCTCTTTGGGGCATTTCGTCGAATAGCTTCTGGGCTTGTTGGATTTGGCAGATTTTGATGTACCCGTTGATCATTGAGTTCCACGAGATAACGTTTCTTGAGTTGGGATTTTGGTTGAACAATTTACGCGCCTCATTTAAATTTCCGTTACGTATGTAGCCATTAATCTTTTGATTTAAAGAAACAGTTGAGGAAGTACAAATATGGCGGGATGGCGTGCGAAGGACAAAGCCTAACATGCGCAGTAAACGCATCCTTGCTCATGGAGTGGCAATTGGGTAGGTTTGAAGTTGATTGGCGCGTTTGCATCAGAAAAGCCTGGGCAAAAATCAATTCAAACAGTACAAACCGATTAACCCAACCGAAACCGACCGGTTTGGGTTGGTTTTTAAGTTTAATTTGGGTTCGGTTGGATTGAAAAATCAAATTTGAGGCCGGATTGGATTGCATCTTGGGTTATGAATTAAAATCTAATTCAATCTAATCCAACCCGATGAATTAAAAAATTAGTACTTCAAATGAAAATAATATACATAGACACAATAGTAGATACAAAAGAATGATTTAGATATTAGAATGTATAAACGTCCCATTTTTTACATAAGCTGATTGGTATGAATACAATGTACAAATGAAAAATAATATAACGATACAATAAAATTAAGGACATGAAAATGAAATGAATAAATTCCAAACAATTATAAAGAGAAAATGCATTATAATTTCAAACTTATTTATAAATTAATTTTCAAAAAGAGTTCCTTATATAAATTAAAAATAATTGAGATTTTTAAGTAGTTTAAAATTTTAAAAATTGTTCAAATTCAAAAAAGATAAAATAATAAATAAATAAATTGGATCCAAATTGAATTGGGCCTAAGTTGACCAACCCAAGCCAAGCTTGATCGATTTGGGTTGGATTGGGTCGACTTGATTTGTTTTAAATCAACCCAAACATGTTGAATTGGATTATGATCGGATAAATAA